CATGCTTATTAGTCAACTGATTTTCAACAAAGATTCTAAGGCAATTCAATAGAGAAAGAAAAGCCTTTTCAATAAATGATGTCAAAAAACCCAAATAGAAAAAAAAAATGAATCTTAAGCCATCCACCTCACACCAAATTAAAAAATTAATTCAAGATGACCCATGGTCCTAAATATAAGAGCTACAATTCTAATGCTCCTTAAAGCAAATATAGGATAATATTTTTCATGATCTTGGGCAAAGATTTCTTAGAGAGGATACAAAAGCACTACATACAAAAGAAAAAAAAAGATAAATTGTACTTAAATATTCTCATCAAAATATATTACTGAGAAAATGAAAATATAAATATTTCTGCAACTTAGTTCAATTGTGCTGCTTCTGAATTCGTTATCAGCCTATATACTTTATTGTAGCTAAGTCTGTCCCTGTACAAACACTGAATGTCCTTTTGACTACTTCAGTTCCTGTAGGCTTAGCATTATATTCTCAGAAGAATAAGATATTTTATTAGCAAAGTTCCTCTTGAATTGCTAAGTGGGAGCCAGATAAAACAATGTTACTATGTCCACAGTTTTAGTGATACACTGAAGGGCAGGGAAAGACTTATTTCTGAGTAACATTAGCTCATTTTCTTACTCTGTCTTTATTATCCTTCCATGATTCATTTATGAATTAAAATAGGCCCTATGTTGGTATCCAGAATGGGGTGAGAAAAGGGAAGTTCTAGGTAAAACTCCTAAGTTTATCTTTGGTATTTTAGTTTTCCACAAACCTGATTTTTGTCTTGGTTCTCTCTGTCTCTTCTCAAAGTTGTGTTCATCAGCTGCTCTTTAAGTTAACCTTCTCGTTCCTATTCCACCCAGAACAGCTTCTTTCCCACAGAATATCAAGCTATAAAGTTGCCTCTAATCCTTGCAACCATTCTCTTCCCAGAACTTCCATTCAGGTGAGACAAAGTATTAACAGAACAATTTAATGGAACTCTAATATTTTTCTCTAGTAAAAACATAGTTTAAAAAAATACCCTGTCTGCTTGCAGGAACTAAATAAAAACGTAAAAAATAAAATGGAAAAACAAAATAAAAAAAAAAGAGAGAGAAAAAAAATACCCTGAAGATTACCTTTCCCATGTAAAACTATTTCTTGTTGCTGGCCTTTATTTCTACTGGTCATTAAAATTAACCTTCAAACAGACTTTTATTTTGTGGAAGAGGTATCCACTCTCCTCCTTAGCTTTATAATGTAGGAGTTGGCAAACTACAGCCTGAGAACAAAATCTGGCCCACCACCTGTTTTTGTAAATAAAACTTTATTGAAACACAGCCACATTCACTCATTCATATATGGTGTCCATGGCTGCTTTCATGTTACAACAGAGCTGAGCTGTTTAGACAAAGATGTGTGGTCCCCAAAGCCCAAAATATTTACCATTTGGTCCTTACAGAAAAAGCTGATTCTTGTTCTACAGCATAGAAAACTGGGTCACTTGTTGTGTATTCTGATGTACTTTTCATGAAAACTTTGCCTGAAGTATTGGTATGCATTCAGCTCACCTCTCTACAGAGGTGTGCTGGCTTTCAAGTTCTAGTCAGAGTGCTAACTTTCCAAAAAAAGAATGTTGTGAGGTCCTTTAATCCTTATCGATGTCACTTTAATTTATCCTGAAAACTGGCTACATTTCTGATACTATTACCATAATTTGTTGTTGTCAACATCTTGATAGTGAGAAAAGATGTTCATGAAAATTGTTGAAAAAATACATTCCATTCATTATGCTATTCATTCTAAATTGCTACATTAAGATGATGCCAGACTACCAGTAAGTTGAATACAGTGATTATGCCATTTTATTCATTGTAGAATCCTTTTTATTTAGCCCTTTAGAGAAGGTGATTGATTGACTTTTAAGAAGAAATTCTAAGAAAAAGTCCTATAAAACAACAGTATTTGATATATGGATCCTGTTTACTACAATATAGCAAAAATAATGAAACAAAACAAAACACACAGGGAGAAAACACCATCAAAAATTGTTTTTTTGAAAAGACTAATACAATAACAAACTTCTAGTGAGACCATTCAAGAAAAAGAAAGAAGGCACAAATAATTAGAAACTAGAATAAAATCAGGAATGAAACTAGAAAACACTGGATATTACAGATATTAAAAAGATAATTGAAGGATACTAGGAACTACTTGATGTCCATAAATTAACAAACTTAGAATGGGCAAACTCCTTGAAAAATATAATTCACCAAAACTGATTGAAAAAAATATGTAGTATCGCCCCAATACTGTCATCTTAATCTAATCACCAGGAAATATAATACAAACCCAAACTGAAGAATAGTTCACAAACTTACTGGCCAATACTCCTCAAAAGAGTCAGTCATGTAAAGATAAAGCATTAGTCCAGATTAAATGAGTAAAGGAACATGAAAACTGAATCAACGTGTTCCTGAATTTGATCCTGAAAAAAGTTGTTATGCCAAACATTAGTAAGATGAATGGTAAAACTTAAATATGGACCATACATTAAATATCAATATTGTATCAATATAAAAATTCCTAACGTAGATCAGTGTATTGGTTAACTAACTTAGGGTATATATGTTGAAGTATTTAATGATAAAAGAGTACTATGTCTATAATTATATTGTTCAGGAAAAACAATATATATAAGTATATATGTATGTATATATTTATATGTGTATCTACTTATGAAAAAGATGCAGTGATAAAGCAAATGTGCCAAAATGCTAATTTGTGATTCTGCTGAAAATTATATAGGAGTTTTTTTTTGAGAAGGAGTTTCACTCTTGTCACCCAGGCTAGAGTGCAGTGGTGTGATCTTGGCTCACTGCAACCTCCACTCCCTGGGTTCAAATGATTCTCCTGCCTCAGCCTCCCAAGTAGCTGGGATTATAGGTGCTCACTACCACGCCTCGCTAATTTTTGTACTTTTAGTAGAGATGGGGTTTTACCATGTTGGCCAGACTGGCATTGAACTCCGGACCTCAGGTGATCCATCCTCCTGGGCCTCCCAAAGTGGTGGTATTACAGGCATAAGCCACCATTCCTGGCCAATATTTTTAAGCCTTCTGTAAGTTTCCAATTATACTTTAGACACTTTACAGTTTTGCCTTTCACATTTAAATCTTCAATCCACTTGAAACTGAATTTTATGTAATATTTACCACGTGGATACCCAATTGTCTCAAACATCATTTATTAAAAAATCTCAGTTTTTTACACTGATCCACATGTTATGTACAAAAATGGCTATGTCCATGTCTGGCCATTCCCTTAGTTTCCTTCTATTCTAAAATTAAGACCTCTAGTTCATTATAAAATAATATAAAGTCAATGAAAACAATAAACCATGAAATGAGAGAGGATCTATTAGTAAAAACATATAACAGACAAAGGACACAGAAGAGTATTAGACATAAAGAAGAAAAAAGTAATCTTATTAGAAATGGGTAAAGATTAGAATAGGCATTTCATATGGAGCAAACCTGCATAACCAATAATCACAAAAAGCAGTGCTCAACTGCACGGGTCATCAGAGAAATGCAAATTAAAGCCACAGTAATATGCCATTTCACAACCATCAGTCTGGCAAAGTTTAAAAAGCTTGCCAATATTAAGAGTTGGAGCGTATGTGGAGTAATAAACTGTGCTGGTGGGAGGGAAAATTGGTACAACTCTGAAAACTGTCACATTAGCTAGTAAAATTGAAGTTATGTATAGCCTATGACTCAGCAATTTCCCTCACAGGTAGGTATTTCAAAGAAACTGATATGCCAGGAAAAATACACAAGAATGTTCATAGCAACTGGTTTGTAATAGCTACAAGTTAGAAATAATCCAAGTATCTATCAATAGTAGAATGATAAACAAATATGAGTATATTCAAATGAACTGAATACATTACAGTGATGATAATGAACAATCTACAGGCACTATAAAAAAAGATGAATTAATCTCCTAATGTGTTGTGCAAAAAAGCAAGACACAGAAGAATACTCATTGTACAATTTCATCTATATAGAATTCAATAACAGGTGGAAACAACCTCTACTATTTAGTGTGTATACATAGGTGATAAAACTAAAAGAGGAGGAACTCATCATCACAAAAGACAGGATACTGATTACTTCTAAGTTTTAGGAAGGGTTTAATAATTGGAAAAGACAGAGAGAACATCTGTAATGTTGAGAGTGTTCTACTTCTTGATCTGGATAACTGAAAGGGTATATGCTTTTAATTATTTGATAAAATGTGCATGTTTTATGTACTTTTCTAACTTTGATTATATGTTATGTTTTATAGTTAAGAAAATTTTTAAAAAAAAAAAATAATGTTTGGAGGAATTCACAGTACATAAAGCAAAATTACAGTGCATGCAGAGTATATAAGGAAACAAGATAGAAAGATATTTAATATGTCCAAATCTCGAGATGCTATACGATAAAATTGTATAGAAATTCCTGCATAATGTCCATACTAGGTCTACAGCAGACATATATGTGTAATGTGTAAACTGTCCTCTCCATCCTGCAAAGTTCATAATACACTTTCCTATATTAGGTCAGCCATAGAGAGAAGAAGGGAAGGAAAAGGAGGAAAAATGAGAAGAGGGAAATAGAAGTTTCAGATAGCTCTCTAGTTCCTGATTCCTGTCCCTAATGAGGGTTGGCTATTAATTCCTATTCGCAGGTTCCAGGGGCTATCATGTATGATATATTTTCCTATTTTACTAACTTAGGTGGTTTTTCTTAGCAGCAGGGATCGTGACTGAAATAGGTCATATGCTTAACTGTATTGTTCCACTGTGTTATTGATTTTGGAAGTCAAACAATAACATAATGATAAATGTCTCTTTTCCGATTTATCAATATATAGGTAAAAATCAGGTTTTTTGTTCACAAAAAATTTCTAAAGGTAAATAATACTCATTAAAATGCTCTAAAATTACTTTTCTTTAACTTACCCTCAAAGTATGGTGCTCTTGTGCTAATAATATTCTCAGTTCTTCGTGTAGTGTTATAACTTCCAGAAACTGTCCCCACAAAGCCATCAGAAGTGAGCAAAGTTGTGCAAGATTCATATTTATAAGTTCTGCCAGTTCATCAGGATTCTCTATTTTCTGAAATGAAAAGAAAAAAAAAATTTCACTACTTCCCGAGATTTAATGTAACATACTTAAATATAATGTTATTGAGAATATTAATACAAAGGCAAATTTGTGGTTTAAAAAAGAAATGTGCATTTGCATATGCATGCACATGTGTGCAGAGAGAGAAAGATCAATTGACAATGGTTTTTTTACTTAACTGATAGTTACTCAAGTAATTTTCAAAAACTTAAACAACATTTCAATATCTAAGATGTCTTGTTAACTGAAATAATGTCAACTGTAAACTAAAATTACAAATTAGGATTCTATAGAGAATGATCAGCTTCTAACACCAAAATATTGGGAATTTTAAACACAGCATTCAAATAATGAGTTATAATTTTTTTGAAATATAGTAATTCTTAAGATTTTTTCCCCCCAATCAGCTAAGAAAAATACTTAAAATATCTATGACTCCTCAGAAAAAAACTGAGATACTTTCTGAAGTAGTCCTTTTCTCTCACTCCTATGTTCTTAGGTTCTACTTCACTTATGAGTAATCCTTTTACAGAGCTGTCAAACACTTATTTTTCTTTTCTAGCAATTCACTCACTTGTCATTTATTGAACACACTTCAAATGCTAATGGCCTAGATTCTAGAGATACAAAGATTAATATGAGAAGTTCACAGTCTAGTGAGGAGAGAAAAGCAGGTAAACAAACTATAATAAAATACTGTTATTAGGACATGATCCAAAGATGGCTGAATAGAAAATGCTCCAATCTGCAGCTTCCAGCGAGACCAATGCAGAAGATGGGTGATTTCTGCATTTCCAACTGAGGTACCCAGTTTATCACATTGGGACTAGTTAGGTTGTGGGTCCAACCCACCGTGGGGCTAGAAGAAGCAGGGTGGGGCATTGCTTCACCTGGGAAGTGCAAGAAGGTGGGGGACTATCTACCCAGCCAAAGGAAGCTCTGAGGGACTGTGCTACCCTGGCCAGGTCACCACGCTTTTCCCACAATTTTTGCAATCTGCAGATCAGGAGGTTACTTCGTGTGCCTAAACCACCAGAGCCTGGGTTTCAAGCACAAAACTGGGGGGCTGTTTGTGCAGACACTGAGCTAGCTGCAGGAGTTTTTTTCACAACCCAGTGGTGCCTGGAACCCCAGCAAGACAGAACCATTCACTACCCTGGAAAGAGTTCAAGCCAGGGAGCCAGGTAGTCTTACTCAGTAGGTCCCACTCCCATGGAGTGGAATCACTGGCTTGAAATTCTCACTGCCAGTAGGAAGTCTGAAGCCAACTGGGGAAGATCAGGTTTGCTGGCAGGAGGGGAGTCCACTAAGGAGGCTGGAAGGTTTGGACTGGGCAGAACTCACCACAGCATGGAAAAGCAGCTGCAGCCACACTGCTTCTCTAGATTCCTCCTCATGGGCTGGGCATCTCTGAAGGAAAGGTAACAGCCCCAGTCAGGGGATTACAGATAAACTCCCATCTCCCTGAGACAGAGCACCTGGGGGAAGGGGCAGCTGTAGACACAGCTTCAGCAGATTTAATCGTTCCTGCCTGCCGCCTCTGAAGAGACCAGCCGATCCTGACAAGAGGGATTCTCTGAGCACAGTGCACCAGCTTGCTAAGGGACAGATTGCCTCTTCAAGTCTCTGACCCGCTTGCCTCCTGACTGGGAGAGAACTCCTAACAGTGGTCGACAGACACCTCATGTAAAAGAGCTCTGGCTGGTATCAGGCTGCTGCCCCTCTGGGATGAAGCATCCAGAGGAAGGAGCAGACAGCAATTTTTGCTGTTGTGCAGCCTCCACTGATGATACCCAGGCAAACAGGATCTGGAGTGGACCTCCAGTGAACTGCAGAAGACCTGCAGAAGAGGGGCCTGACTGGTAAAAGAAAAACTAACAAACCGTAATAACATCAACATCAACATAAAGGACTCCCATATAATAACCCCATCCAAAGGCCATCAGCTTCAAAGATTATAGGTACATAAATCCACGAAGATGAGGAAAAACCACTGCAAAAATGCTGAAAATTCCAAAAACCAGATTGCCTCATCTCCAAATGATGGCAACTCCTCTCCAGCAAGGACACAAAACTGGACAGAAAATGAGATAGACGAACTGACAGGAGTAGGCTTCAGAAGATGGGAAATAACAAAATCCTCTGAGCTAAAGGAGCATGTTCTAACCCAATGCAAGAAAGTGATAAACCTTGATAAAAGGTTACAGGAACTTTTATATACAATAACAGTTTAGAGAGGAACATAAATGACCTGATGGAGCTGAAAAACACAGCAAAAGAACTTTGTGAATCATATACAAGTATCAACAGCTAAATTGATCAAGTGGAAAAAAGGTTAGCAGAGATTGAAGATTAACTTACTGAACTAAGATGTGAAGACAAGATTATAAGAATAAAAAATGAAAAGGCCTCCAAAAAATGTGTGACTATGTGAAAAGACCAAACCTGCAATTGACTGGTTTATCTGAAAGTGACAGGGAGAATAGAACCAAGTGGAAAACACACTTCAGGATATTATCCAGGACTTCCCCAACCTAGCAAGACAGGTCAACATTCAAACAAGAAAATACAGAGAACACCACTAAGATACTCCTTGGGAAGAGCAACCCTAAGAACACATAACCCTCAGTTTCACCAAGGTTGAAATGAAGGAAAAAATGCTAAGGGCAGCCAGAGAGAAAGGTCAGGTTACCTACAAAGAGAAGCCCATCAGAATAACAGTGAATCTCTGTATAGAAACCCTACTACAAGCCAGAAGAGACTAGGGACCAATATTCAACATTCTTAAAGAAAAGAATTTTCAACCCAAAATTTCATATCCAGCCAAACTAAACTTCATAAGTGAAGGGGAAATAAAACCCTTTATAGACAAGCAAATGCTGAGAGATTTTGTCACCACCAGGCCTGCCTTACAACAGCTCCTGAAGGAAGCACTGAATATGGAAAGGAAAGACCTGTACCAGCCACTGCAAACACATACCATATTGTAAAGACCAATGACACTATGAAGAAACTGCATCACCTAACGAGCAAAATAACCAGCCAGCATCATGATGACAGGATTAAATTCACACATAACAATATTAACCTTAAATGTAATGGGCTAAATGCCCCAATTAAAAGACACAGACTGGCGAATTGGTTAAAGAGTCAAGACCCATCGGTGTGCTGTATTCAGGAGACTCATCTCACGCACAAAGACACACATAAAAATACAGGGATAGAGGAAGATTTACTAAGAAAGTGTAAAGCAAAAAAAGGAGGGGTTGCAATCCTACTCTCTGATAAAACTGACTTTAAACCAACAAAGATCAAAAAAGACAAGGGCATTACATGATGGTAAAGGGATCAATGCAACAAGAAGAGCTAACTATGCTAAATATATATGCACCCAATACATGAACACCCAGATTCATAAAGCAAGTTCTTAGAGACTTACAAAGAGACTCAGACTCCCACATAATTATAGTGGGAGGCTTTAAGACCCTACTGTCAATATTAGACAGATCAATGAGACAGAAAATTAACAAAGATGTTATAGTGGGAGACTTGAACACCCTACTGTCAATATTAGACAGATCACCAAGACAGAAAATTAACAAGGATACTCATGGCTTGAACTCAGCTCTGGACCAAGCAGACCTAATAGACATCTACAGAACTCTCCACCCCAAATCAACAGAATATACATTCTTCTTAGCACCACATCACACTTATTCTAAAACTGACCATATAATTGGAAGTAAAACACTCCTCAGAAAATGCAAAAGAACAGAAATCATAACAAAGTTTCTCACACCACAGTGCAATCAAATTAGAACTCAAAATTAAGAAACTCATTCAAAACCACATAACCACATGGAAGCAGAACAACCTCCTCCTGAATGACTACTGGGTAAATAACAAAACTAAGACAGAAGTAAATAAGTTGTTTGAAACCAATGAGAACAAAGACATAATGTACCATAATTTCTGGGACACAGCTAAAGCAGTGTTCAGAAGAAAATTTATGCCACTAAATGGCCACAGGAGAAAGCAGGAAAGATCTAAATCAATGCTCTAACATAATAATTAAAAGAACTAGAGAAGCAAGAGCAAACAAATTCAAAAGCTAGCAGAAGACAAGAAGTAACTAAGATCAGAGCAGAACTGAAGGAGATAGTGACATGAAAAAACCCTCCAAAGAAATCAGTGAGTCCAGGAACTGGTTTTTTGAAGAGATAAACAAAATACGTAGACTGCTAGCCAGATTAATGAAGAAAAAAAGAGAAGAATCAAATAGATACAATAAAAAATGATAAAGGGGATATCACCACTGATTCCCAAATAAATACAAGCTACCATCAGCAAATACTACAAACACATCTATCCAAATAAACTATAAAATCTAGAAAAAATGGATAAATTCCTGGACACATACATCCTCCCAAGGCAAAACCAGGAAGAAGTTGAATCCCTGAATAGATCAATAACAAGGTCTGAAGTTGAGGCAATAATTAATAGCCTACCAACCAAAAAAAGCCCAGGTCCAGATGGGTTCACAGCCTAACTCTATCGGAGGTACAAAGAGAAGCTAGTACCATTCCTTCTGAAACTATTCCAAACAACAGAAAAAGAGGGACTCCTCCCTAACTTATTTTATAGGCCAGCATCATCCTGATACCAAAACCTGGCAGAGACACAACAAAAAAAGAAAATTTCAGGCTAACATCCCTAATGAACATTGATGTGAATATCCTCAATAAAATACTGGCAAACCAAATCCAGCAGCACATCAAAAAGCTTATCCATGACAATCAGGTCGGCTTCATCCCTTGGATGCAAGGCTGGTTCAACATATACAAATCAGTAAACATAATCCATAAACCACATGATAATCTCAGAAAATGCCTTGGCTAAAATTCAACATCCTTTCATGTTAAAACTCTCAATAAACTAGGTATCGATGGAATGTTTCTTAAAATAATAACAACTATTTACAACAAACCCAC